TGGGAGATGCTCTCTGCTCAGAATCTCACTGGGACAAACAAGCTCTCATCCCTGAGCCTCTACTTGAGTTTCTAAAAGTGATCAGATTGAGAACTGCTTGAAAGAGGAAAAGCCAGACTGGGAAGAAATACAAGTAGTGAAGTGAGACCAACCACAAAGCAATCTGGTCTGGAAGGTGTCCCTTTGTCCCTCTGTTCTGTCTGCCTCTATCCCAAATAAGGGAAGAAAAAGATATCCAGAGGCCCCTTTTCATGTATTCCCACTCTTTTACTCACATCACCTACAGTTTCTACACAGAGCTCTGTGCTCCTTCCCCTTCCACCTGTGTGAATGCAACTAAATGAAATTATTCCTACTTCCATGACTCAGTTTTCTTCTGCATTACCATCTCCTTTCTAAAGCTTCTCCTCTCTTTATTCCTTTTCACTGACTCACTCAGATGTTGAAGGTGAAGGAGGTAGGAACTGGACACCTTGATACATACTTGGTGTGTGTGAGGTATGCCTGCAGAGTAGATGTCTCACTTTTTCACACTCCAAGTGTGTAGACCACACTTGCCATTCCAGATCTCACTTCACACACCTACAGATCTGTGGGGGGGAATAAGTAAGGAGAAAAATGCAGGGGATGTTCACTGCTTTCTCCAGCTGCTTTACCCCTCTCCTGTCAGCCTCCTACCCTGCTCCCACTCTGCTGAATCTAAAGTGGCTGGATTAGGAGTGGGTGGTCTTTGGCTCCATTTCTCCTGCTGTGGGTGCTATGAGCCACGCATTTACACCTAGCAGGGATCATCCAGTGGGAAAGCAACAAAGTACAGGTGTCTGACAGGACACCAACCATTCCCAGTTAAGGGGAGCCCAGCAAGCCAGGTACCTGGCTTTGGCAGGTCACACCTGACCCAGAGCCTGAACAGTTCATTAACAATGGAGAGCACTGCCTTTTCCAGCCTGATGCTCCATGCACCAGCCCAGCTGTCACTTGGGCTGCTTCTTGCAAAACCGCCACACCAAAAACACACAGAGAGGAAGGGCTGCAGCTGATAGCTGGGGCTATCATGGGGAGGAATTCTGTGACACATGGCACTCCCAGGAGTTAAAGGAAAGTGGGGCAACATATAGGAATGTACTGATGGCATGTGGAAGACCTGGGGTCCTCTAGCAGAGCAAGACTGAAGCAGTGAGTCCAACCTGACTCAGAGAGGCAATCACTCCAGGGTTTAGACCCTAAGCATAGGATCACAGGATGACTGTGTTGGAAGGTGCTTCCTGAGGTGAAAACTCCAGTTCAAAGCAGAGTCAGCTATGAGGTTAGACCAGATTACTCACGGCTTTATCCAGTCTGGCTCCGAAAACCTCAAAGAATGGATACTGAACAATCTGTCTGAGAAACCCGTTACAGTGCTTGACACTTCTCACAGTCAAAAAGTTTTTCCTGACCCTCAGTGTGAGCAACTCTAGTTTCTCTTCTCCCACACTCCAAAAGTACTATTAGTTTGTAATGTCTTGGAATATTTTCCCACCATTTTACATCACATTCACAAAACATGTTTGCTGCAGGCTTCTGTGCAAAGATGTGACCGAAATCAGAGAAATCACTGGAAAAAAAGAGACAGCAATCTTGAGCTTCACAGGCTTGAGCTTTCTATTAATTTAAATCCATTCAAGGAACTAAGAGAAACCCTGCCACACTAATCAGAACAGCCAGTGTTAGGAGATGTCTAAGCTGTAGTCAAAGGTACACTTGCAATGCATTCAGACACCTATGCCAACCTGAAACCCTAAACTTGGCTCAGTTACTGATAACAACCGAGATAATCTTTGGCATTTAGCTGGTTGGCACTCAAATATCCACAAGTTCCTAGGTGGATTTTACAGCCTTAACTGTCTAGCAACCTCAGTGAAAATTCTCCTCTACGTTCCTGAAACTGAGACCCAGCTATGATGAGAGTTGCTACGCAGCTCTCTAGAAACTATGATGGGGTATCCCCAATACACAGAGACGACCTGCAGCCATTACCAGAGGAAGAAGCCACCTCCACTTCTCACTGTGTAATTGCTATCATGCCATGTTACACAAAGCACATGCATGACATTGAGATGTGACTGTGAAGAAGGTGACTGGATATCAGGTTAGCCTTTTAAGATCACTTTTCAGCTTTTTCCATACCTTAGGAAATCATAATGTGATCATTGCCATTCTGGTGTCCCCTGTAAAATTTAAATATACTCTATGACGCTATTTCAAATTATCACATATGGAGCTGCTCTGTTATGACCCACTCAATTACTTTTCTCCAGGGAGAAATAACCAGAAAACTCATATTTAGGAAAGAAAATGTAAAGTTGCACATCACTAAACATGTGCAAACTATGACATCTAACTAGATCATAGTAAAACATCCCTGCGGGAGATGAAGAAATCATGTGGCTTGCTTAAAATTGGAATGGAAAAAGGCCCGGAGCAAGCTCAGGGCACAATCCTGCACTGGCCCTTGTGTGGTGAATAAACTAAATGTGACTGATTATGAGCTTTCTATCACTAATTAAAACCTCTTGAATTCTGAGTTCAAAATCTGCTCCATGTAAATTTCAAGGTAAAACCAATACAAGCATAGCACTCCCTTCTCTGGGACCTACCTGGTCTTGGGAAGGCAATACAGAGGCTGTATACTGAACTAATTCTGAAAAAATCTAATCAGATAGACTTGGAAGAGAGAACACAAAGCTCTGCTCACGCTAGGATGTTAGTTTCCAACCACATCCTAGAGCTCAGACCTAGTACTTCAAAGCATTGATTTCCAGCTCGAACAAAATATGTCTGAAGAATCCTCTCAATAACTCCAGGAAGGCTGGAGCCAAAAATCTAGGCTGCCAAGTAAGAATTGTTCTAAACAAAATTCCTTAGGAGGAGTAGTCCAACTAAAATTCAAGGATCCCACCTTCACTAAATCCAGCCTCTAGGACTGACAGGAGAATTAGCCCCTTCTAAAGCACAGCAGTGTAAAAGTTTCACATGAAGCAGGCATCAGACAGTATTACTACATTCATATCTGACTCCCACAGAGACCAGAATCATAGCTGTGCAATCCCCCTTAGCACACGCCTTCATAACACCAGGGCAAGAAAAGCTCCTCAGTTAACTGTATAAATAGGTCCCTAAAGTCCACTGAGCTATCACCATCAAGAATGAACGTGTATCACACTAACCAAAAATTGCCATCATATAAGAAGTCAAACATCTGTAACATTAAGGTCTGTATTGGAGGACTGCAATTTGCAAAGTGAATTTTCAGCTATCATTATCCCATCGACATAGCATAGATGCTATTCTCTGTTTTCATCTATGCCCACACAACTGTACGACATTTATAAATATATATACAAACATATACATAATCTCATATGAGAATGATACTTGCAACAGCTCAGCTATACCAGGGGTTTTTTTGTAACATAGACTCCAAGTCACAGATCATAAAAATGCTGCCACACAGAGGAACAAACACCTGTAGTTTGTACAACAGCTTAACCACATTTTGCAGTGGAGAGTGGATGTTACTAAATGCATGTTTGTTATTTCAACAGCATTGTGGGAAGAGAGACCAAGAATTAACGCTGCCAGTTAGACAGACATCGATAAAAGGCGTACCAATAATTACCCAGCTAACAGAATAATAATGTCCTCGGCAACGTGGGTGTGTGGAGGATAGGGGCAAGGCAGGAGATGGAGGCAACACATGTCCTGATATGCTATAGAGACACTGATCCAGGTGAGCTTGAAGAATCTCAAGGGAAATATTGCAGTGATCTTTGCCATGTAGACACGTAAGAGATTTCTCTAGGTCATAAGGACATTTGAGACCACTGAGAGACATAGGCTAGGTACAGGAATTAGTTCCCGAAGTACAAACTGGATTCTGTAGTTTAAAGTTTGCTGCTGCAGGAGTAGATGGTTCCTTGCAAGTGCTCACAAAGGGCTTTCCCACTGAGACAAGAAGTGTCACAGCATCAGGCTTTGACATAGTCCCTCACATTTACTCTGGGGTGACACAGTCCCTCCATCTGGGGCGGTGGTGCAATTCTCATGTCCTCAGAGGTCTCCTTTTCCCACAGATGCCCGCGTGCTCTTGGGAGAGACAGAGCCGATGGTTTGGGAGCGAGATGTACTGCCAAATGAACTCTGGTTTGCTCTCAGAGATTCTTTTGGCATATTGAATTATATATCCCCACGTAACTGATAGAGCTGTACCTGTGGTTTGCACAGAAAAAAAAAATTCCTGAAGGCAAGAAAGTGTGCCCAGAACGCTGTGTTTACCTGTAGATACCCTTGCTTAAAGATCAAGGGACCTCTTGGTATCTGCATGTGTGTAGGAGGGGAGAGATGGGTTACACAGCCTGAAGGCTTGGGATCCTTTGGTTAAAAATGTGCATGGCGTGGCCCAGCGGAAGGATGCGGTCCCTCCCCGTGTCCCCTCGCAATAGCTCTGCGAGAGGGAAGGGATTCAGCTTTCTTTGCTCTTCTCCATTAAAGTCTACGCAGGGGGAAGGGGAAGACAAGAAGACGTGCAGATCATGCAACGTTATGTATCCTTGGATAACAATAAACCCTTACCGAGCAAAGGAGCCAGCCGCCGGCCGCCTGATCCCGCTTCGGGAGGCACGGCACGGCACGGCACGCCCCGCACCCACCCCCTTCTCCGGAGGCGCCGCACTGACCCACATGTTCGGCGACCTTTCGTCACGGGTGACACGGGCAGACGACCCCCGGCCCCGGGCACGTCCCGCCGCCCCGCTGCCAGCACCTAGGCCAGCGGCTCCGCGCAGCCCCGCCACGCCACGGGAGACCGAGGTGGGGAAGGGTCGCACGCAGCTAATGGCGCTGCACGGGCAGCAGGGAGGGGGGCTGCGAGGGGCGACCTGCCGGGGGCTGCCGTGCCGGTACCCGGGCGGGGGCCGCGGCTGCCCGAGCATCCTCTGGCGCCGTCCCCGCCAACGCCTTACCCACGGTGCGGGATCCGATGCAGCCCATCACTCCGGCGGGGCTCCGGGGAGAGGCGGCAGCCTCAGCAGCGAGTAGGCGGAGAAGGCGGGGAGCGGCGGAGGTCGGAAAGGAGCCGGTCCCTTCAGCGGGAAACGCCGGGGTGGCCCAGCGGGGACCGGCGCGGGGTCATGGTCAGGTAGGAGCGCGGGGTGCCCCCGCCGGGGCGAGGCGGGCGGGCGGGCGGGGAGCCCGCGGGCCAGGCTGGCATCTGCCCCCGCCGCGCCTCCGCGCTCTGCGCCGCGCCCCGCGCGGCTCCCCGTCCGCTGCCGCGTCCCCGCCGGTGCCGCCGCCGAGCCCCCGCTGCCCGCCCGCCCCCCGCTCCCGGCTCCCCGACGGGGGGCGGGCTGAGATTGGGTAAACAGCTCGGCCCGGCAGCGCCGCGCCGATTGGCTGCCGCCCTCCGCGGCCCGGGGAGGGGAGGCAGCGCCGGCCGGGCCGGGCCGCCCCTCTGCCCGCGGGGAGCGCGGGACGGGCCGGCGGCGGGACGGAGGCGAGGGACCCCGGCGGGCGGGCGGGCAGGACGGGACGGGACGGGACAGGTGCGGGCGGCGCGGGATGCGCACGGAGCGGGGGGGACGCGGGGCCCCTCCCGCCCGCCGGGAGAGCGGGGCGGGCACAGGTGAGCGGCGGGCGGTGCCGCAGGCCGGGAGCGGCGGGGGGAGGCGGGTGGGCAGCGCGCTTGTCCCTGTAAGAGTAAAGCAGGTGGGGACGGGGGAAGGTGGGTGAGCAGCTGGCGCGTCCCTGTAAGAAGAAGCAGTAGCAGCGAGGGGCGCTGGGGTTGGATGCATGGATGCATGGATGGATGGATGGATGGATGGAGGCGGGGCGGGCGCGGTTTCCCGGTAACTACACTTGCGGACCCGACTCAGTTACCGGCAGCCCCCCAGCGGCCGCGCCGCGCCTCCCCCGGGGCGCGCCCGGCGCGCTCCCGTGCGGCTGAGCCGGCCCGGCGCGGTGCCGGTGCCGCCGCCGCCCGGCCCGCCGGGAGTGCGGGAGCTGCCCGGGGGCAGGCGGCCCGCGGAGCCGCCCCAGCAGCCATCCGGCGGGAGGACGGCCGTTCCCCGCGGTCCGATCTGCCCCCGGAGCCGCGGGGCTCAGGCGTGCGGCGCCGCCCGGCCTCTGCCCCTGGCCCCGCATAACCGTGAAGGATGAAGCGAGCCCAGCCTTGAGGACGCTCGCTGGGGCTTTTCCCAGGTCCTCCCCACTAACACGGCAGTGAGGAGGGATCTCTGCAGATGGAGAAGGTGTGGTTAGGTCAGTTCCCGTCACAGCCCAAATTCTTCTCACCTGATGGCACCATCAACAGGCAGTGTCCTCCTGGGCCGCTTCCCCAGCACCACGGACTCTCTCCAGTCTGGTCCGTCCACCTTCAATCTCTGAAATGCTCACAATTTCTCCCTGGCCCTTTTGTGTCTCCTTCGCCCAAAAAGCCTCTCTGATCTCACCAGCATCCTTCCACCCATCTCTAGTAATGGCAAATTGAATTGTGCTGATCCCATATGATCCATTTTGATCTCATCCTCGTGCTTGGAGAATTCAGTTTTTGTCAGCATTGCTGAGAAGTCATTCAAGACAGCTGATCATTCTTCATTAACAGCAGTACCAAAGAATAGGTAAGTTCATTCATTTTTCCATTCACACCTTACAGTCAGCCTAAGGAAGGAAAAAAATAAGGAAAAAAGGGCTTCAGACAGAACATATTTTGCCTGACCCTCTGAAACAATAAGCAGGAAGTCTACTCAGATAAAGTCAATTCACAAAATAAAATCTACGTGGGAAAGATAAAGGCAGAGAAAAAACCCCAAACCACGGTCTGAATATAGGCAGTTATTTTGTCTTTTTCCTTCTTTATGATATTGAAGGTATTACTGTGTATGGTGAACATGACGCTGCTGAAGTGTAAGAGATCACAGTCCCCTCCTCTCTGGTGCCTGAGGCCAGCCTGCTACAATGCTTATCACTGGGTACAATGCATTAGATCCCTGGTGAGGATGAAGTTTTTCCACAGTTAGAATTCTTTCCCTATTTCACTCCTTCCACCTCCCCCATATATTTCCAAACCTATCAGTTTTCATCTCGTTTTTCTGAATGACTTACTAAAGATACTTTTCCCGACATGTCTGCACTCTCCTAACCTAGGTTGTAAAAGCACTGGGAAACAATGGGTCTGGCAGTATGTTAACCAAGGTGTTTCACCATCTCTAAAAAGTCGATCTCTAGGGCTAAAAATGTGAGGAAAGGGGAAGCAAAAGCAGATTGCAATGGGAAGAGTGGTATATTAAGACAAAAGTCCTGTTTTGGGTAAATGTTTTTTAAGTTGGTGGCTGCCCAGCCAGCTGCTGTCACCCACAGTCTCCTGTGGACTGATTGATCAGGACAGCTGTCCTCAGCAGTTTCACCAAACCCACCAAACAGCATTTGCACCTCACCCTGGCCTAAGAAGATGTATTACTGACACAGCTGTGAACAATTTCTTTTCCTCAGTTCAGAGAGTCTGGTTTCATTTTAATCCCCTTCTCCCTCTCACCCACCCACCAAATCTAAATCTGTTCCTCTGTGAACCTTTTTTGTGCACTGTGTGAACTCTGCTGTGGTTTCCTTTTCAGTAAAGATTTCAGACAAGTCACATTGACTCTTCTTTCTTTATTCCCCCTGAGCTTGTCTATCGCTTTATCTCAAGCTCAAAGTCATATCCCAAGTCCTAGCAAATGCACATTTGGCTTTCCTTTCATTAAGCTACAATATCATCTACATCAACCTGCTCTGACTTCTGCCCCAGGGTGTGATTCCACAGGCAGGTGAGCAAGTCCTAGCACTTACCCTGCCTGAAAAGCTGCTTTGCAGTTCTTCATGGGTTTGTCTGCTGCTGCTTTGGTGAGGTGGTAGTTTACACAGGATCTGGCAAGCACCCATGCTGCTGCCAGACATGCACAGCAGAAAAAATAAAAGAACTGGAAAGAAGGATTATACCCAAGTGTCCATTCATTCACTCCACAGAACTATTGGTCTGTCTTGTGGCTGTCTCACATGTCCTGATGCCACCAGCTCCCTCATTTTTTTAATTTGAAATCAATATCACTTAGCTGCTGGAAGCAATACCTGTCTTGGCACCTAGAGCCATGCTTCATCTCTCATTTCTAATATAGTCAGTTTAATGAAAGGATAGACTCTTCACCATCTTTTGGTTCTTAATCACACCTTTATTTATTATGTTTACACAACATTATGCATTATTTATATTTACATAAATCTCCATATTTAAAGTCAATTTCATTCTCATTAGAAGTTGAGAAGATTTTGTTAAGATTCAGCTTTCACCCAGTTGCTCAGCTCTTCTGTACAGTAGGTTCTATGCAATAGGGAATTCATCATCAGTGAACAGTTTCTAGTTTTTATCAAGCCAATAACAAACTTTTTAAAATCAGTAAAAATGTTTATATATAGCACCAAAAGAAAAGTAGGTATTTTACATTTTGAAGAAATACATGGTTTAATAAGAATGTGATTTCATAAGCATTATCTCATAGGAGGGAAGTGACAAGACTGAATCTCTGAACAAGGGACTGAAACAGAACATAAATCTAACTGTCCCCCACAGTTTTTGTCCCTGCACTTTCATGAGCAACAGCATCCCCACTGCTGCTTCAAGGAACTGGAGGTAAATGACAGAACATAAACAGTTTTGTTTTCTTTGAAATACACTTTCTGACAGGCTGTGGATATTTTCTCTGAGCATTGTGGGTTGGTTCTTAAACAATGAGGCTGCAATTTCGTGTAGGAAATTGTGTACAAAATTTTTCTGATAAGTGCTGATTTAAATGCTGGTCTGGAAAGATCTTCACAAATCTAAGTTTTTGTACAGGTTTGGGAGAGGGAGGTATTTAAATATCTAGAGAGAAACATGGATAGATCTTTTTACAAAGCTGGGTACCTCAGAAGAAAGGAGCAGTAGGAAACAGCCTCTTGCAAGTTCCTAATTTATTTTTATGATGGGTGAAATTATGTGCCCCTCTGTTTATTGCAGATCTGAAAATCTCCCCTTCCACAGCCCCTGTTGTGAGGGCCTGTGCTGGCAAAAGGGAAGGAATGTTTGACCTGTTGTGTTCTGTAGGTCACTGCAATTAGCAACTTCTGTTTGCAAAACAGAGCTTGAGTGCTGCCCAAACTAGGTCAAGGATGCTGCTGGAGGAAGTGCCACATAAAGATCCCTTGACTTTCTTCTTCCTCTGCTCCTGCAGTTTTGCAATGAATTCAGCAGAGAAATTGAGATACCATAATCAATAAGCATGTGCTCCTAGGTGAGGACCACCTATTTCTGGGCTTGTATGCCAAGGTGAATTGGGAACAGACAAGCATCCATGCCTCTCTTCCCCCATGCCCTGCACACAGGGGTCACTGTAAGTCTGGGCAGGGATGGGTGGGGAGGAAAACACAATTTCAGCAAATCTAAAAATAGTCACCTTGTGACTGATAGAGTCACTAGCCTGATAGAGGGGCTGATAACAGCACAGAGCAAACAGTTTTAGAACTAGTCTAGTTCTTAGCAACTTGTTCTAAACTACCCTGAGGCTTCCATCATATCCCTGAAGACCAGCTTATGCTGTAAATTAACTTTTGTTTGTGTTTTAAGAGACAGCTGTTCATATTTTCTATAAGCCATTGATGAATCTATTAAATCTGTTCTACCAGATTTTCCCTATATTTCTACATAAATATAAAGATCTTATAAATTATAAATACTGGAACAGCATCTTCCAAAGAAACACTGCTTATAAAATACAAAGCTATTGTCACTGTCTTACCTGCTGAGTAAATATATTCTTTTCATCAATTAATTATCACGGATGCAGATTATATCACAGTAGGTAATGTGCCCCTGTCATCTTCCTTAGCTACCACTAAAACCAGCTAAAATGAAAAGAAAAAACAATATATATCTTGCCAACTAATGTCCCACTTTCAAGTAAACATCACCAAGCACCAGATAATGCAAAATGTCTTCCTTTTGCCTATTCCTCAGAGATATCATTGGCA